GTGTGTGTGTGTGTGTGTGTGTGTGTGTGTGTGTGTGTGTGTGTGTGGTTTGCCTTGCCTGTGGAAGTCTAGGTTTTCTTGTGGCTTAAGGTTTTAGAAACTTTGTTATTTCAGTGCTATTAAAGTACAGCTGCTGAAATATAGTTTATTTTATTCATTTAATGCCTACATCATTAACCTGGAAAAATAGTGAGTGATAAAATGATACAAGAAAGGATAAAAAGCTTAAGTTTAAAGCAGTTAGCCTGGAAATCATAATTCTCATTGAAGATTCCTCTTGGGGCGGAGGGTGTGGCAGGAGCACTTGTTGCTGTGTTCATAACTTGGAGAAGTTACCAGTCTTCATGGGAAAGGGGCTTTCATCAGTTTTTCTTGTTAATGTTGTCTTCTACAAGTTGGTTAACTTTAGCGTGGCCTTTTTGTTTTGGCAGCCTGCTGAAGAAGTGAGGAAGGACAAGGAGGAAGAAGTGATACAGGTCACACAGGAAGAGAAACTGGAAGGAGGTCCAGCCAAAAGAGAGACGAAGGAAGTACAGACAAGTGAGCTGAAGGCAGAGGTGGCCTCTCAGAAAGCTACCAAGAAGACCAAGACTGTTCTGGCCAAAGTCACCCTCCTAGATGGCACAGAATACAGCTGTGACCTTGAGGTGAGGCAGGGACGGAGCAGAGAATCCTCTTCATGGCAGAATAAAAGTATTCTGCACAATGAATCTGTGCCCCCTTTCGCCAAGTTCCTTTAGGCCAGGTTGTTGCTGTTGTACTTTTGAAACACTAACTGCCATGTAGAGAGAGCGCCATCATTTCCATGCCGGACAGCAGCACTTCCTAACTTTGGGCTAAGCAGGGGCGATGCTCTGCCATGGCCTTTCAGTCTTGTGTGGTTTGTGTCTGTTCTGAAAGATCAGCTTTGGCTACTACCTCCATAGGATTATTTTACATGAGAAATGGTAGTTTTAAATTGACTTTTAGAAAGAGATTTAAGCAGTTAAACTATTGAGAAAGAGAATGATGTTAACCTAGGCCATCAGTTTTGTATCATTTATAAAAAGATGCCTATGCATCTGTGTAAGAGGTGTAATTTCCTGCACTGAAGTCTAAAGACCAGTGTGATGCCTTAGAGCACCAGCTCAGGGCTCTCTGTCACCTCAGTTCTTCACAGTGACATTTTTTATATGACATGCACTAATAGCTAATGGCCACTGAACTGTGTTGACGTTCTCTGAATGGCTTCTCATGTTTCATGTAAGACTCCATTCTCAGTGCACAGTGGGAAGGTAAAGGCCTAAGCTGGTAACTGCCAGGTGGTGGCAGAGCCAGGCCTGCAGCTGTGGCAGCTGGGCACTAGAGCTTGTGAACATGTCCTCGGAATTACAGCTGTCCTGCCGATGACCTGCTAATAATTAGTCAGAGTCCTGGCATTCTGCTTCTTTTTTTGTTTTTTAGTTTTTTTTTTTTTTTTTTTTTGAGGCAGGGTTTCTTTGTGTGCAGCCCTGGCTGTCCTGGAACTTGCTCTGTAGATCAGCCTGGCCTTGAACCCACAGAGATCTGCCTGACTGTTTCCCAAGTGAGTGCTGGGATTAAAGGCATGTACCACCAGTGATACTCATACTATACTCCTTGCTAAAACATCTGTGGCTATCTAATTGAACAATGCTTTTGTTATATTTGACCATATTTTGTTGCCAGGCAAGGATACTCAGGGAGCACTTATTATTTTCTTATCTTTTTATAAACAGTCTAGACCATCTACTCATGCATATATAATAGCTCTGACATTTGAAGCATTTCAAAAATAGAGTAACAAAGAATTAAGAATCCTTATCATCTTGGTTCTTGGTGTTATAACAAAATACTTTAGAAGAGGTAAGTTTTAAAGAATAGAGTCCAACAATTTTCAGCCTGTGGGTGGAGACCCCTGTGGGTCTCATATCCTGCATATCAGATATTTGTATTACAATTCGCAACACTAGGAAAAGTAGGAATGAAAATAATGTTATGGGGTCACCACAACATGAAGGGCTTTCTTAAAAGGTCGCAGCATTAGGAAGGCTGAGAACCCCTGCAATATACTGAAAAAGTCATGATGATCGAGGTATCAGTGGATTGGCTTGTGAGATAGAACTGCCTTCTATTTCCAAGATGGCTCCTTTCTGCTGATCTGTCATGTGCTGTGAAGGAGTAAAACGGCTCCTTGTAGGGTTGGAGGAGGCTAGTGACTCTTTCAACATTTTGTCTGAGTGCACTAAGATCAGTCATGAAGATGGAACACTCAGGACTTGTTAGGAGGTTCCGACTCTTTGTACATGGGTAAGCCCATGATCAACAGACAAGACAAGGGTGTCCACTGTCTCCAGAACTATTCAGTATCATGATTGAAGTCTGGGCCGGAGCAGTGAGACAACTAAAAGATCAAGATACAAATAGGAAAGGAGGAAGTCAAAGCATCTTTAGTTTCGGATGCTGTGACTGTATCCATAAAGGACCCTAACAGTTACCAGGAAACTCTATAGCAGATAAGCACTGTCACCAAAGTATTAGGATACAGGTCAACACCACGGATACTCCTTTTCTTTTTTCTTATGTGTTTTTTTAAATTGCAAATCTGCTGTATTATTTTCCCCAAAAAACAACTCAAGTTTTGTTTACTGATTATTTCTTTTTTACTTTATAATATTTCCCCTTTGCTTACCCTGCACTCCCCAGCCCATTCCTGTGGTTTTCTGATTTTTTGAGTTTAATACTTAGAAATATGGTTTATCTGGCTCTTAATTTCACCTTCTAGTACTTTCCATAGCATTATAGTTTACTTTAACTTTGGAATTTTTATGAATATGATTTAGAAATTTCAGTGTGTGAGTATATACATGGGTGTGTTGTGGAGAATTTTCCTTTTTTCAGAATCTCAGTTTTTAGTTACATTGTGCTCAGAACATGGTCTAAAGTACAGATTTTGTTGTGTTTAAGACTCACTTAAGCCATGATATCTGGTTGGCATAGCTCTCTTAGAGTTTGGTAAGCGTGGCATTCTTTTCTTTATATAGAGTTTTGGATCTGTCTTTGATCCAGTTAATTTTGTCTGTTTCTTGTCTGTACTGTTTAACAGCATTGACCCTTGACTTCTAAGTGTGTTAAAATGGCAGTATTTATTTCATAATTTGCCTTAGTGTTCCTGTAAATTTTTATTTTCTAAATTCTTAGGCTAGAATATTAACTTCAGAATTATATATTGTTGGGAGTTTTCCTGATGGCTGTATTATACTTTAAATCTATTTTATTAGATATTAATATTACTGTAGTAGCATTGTTTTGGTTAGGAATTGCCTGCTTCACCTTCTGCCATTTTTTTAAAAATTGAAGTAACTTGTTTTAAAATTTATCTTTAACTAGTGACTTTACCGAGGTTTTCTCATAGCCCAGATGCCTGTGACTGTCTTCTAACTTCTGAGTTTGGGGTATCTTTTTGCTTACTTGCTCTCTACTTTTATTGTTCTTCTTTGGGAATTGTCTGTAGCTTATAGACATACTGATTTGAAGTTTGCTTCTACTGTGCTTGCATTAATGTGCGTTTTTAGATCTCTGATCTAACTTTGGAATACTACAAAGTAAAAGTGTAGTTAGTCTTCTACAATTGATTCTGTTGCTTGCAGAGAATCAGTTTGTTGTGTTTCCCAAAGCCCAGCTTAGATAGTAAGTACCCAAGACTAAAAGCTGCAACTTAGTCTTTTAATTCACCAAGAATTAAGCTTATTGGGGAAACATAAGAGTCTTGTAATTTATATTCTCCTTTTCTTTAATATGGGACTGTTTAACATGCTATTTTAAGAAACATTTGAAGACAATAGATCATAAATCAGCACTATAGCAGCTGTGTTCAGTGAATGTCTTATTCTTTTCAGGTACAAAGCAAAACAGAATCGGGTAGCCACTCGTGAGGCTATCCTGCAGCAGATGTTATGTATGCACCAGCAGCCCAAGATGAGCTGTTGAACAGGACTTGGGTCTGACGTAATTCACCTCCTTTTAGTAGATGTTAGAGTAGTGTAGAAGTCATGTGCTGTGTCTCCTGTTGTAATTAAGGTTTCTTCATCTAAATTTTCCTTGAACTGTGGTTGCTTGGTAACATTAATTTGGATCTATGTCTCCTCAGACCTGCTATGTTTGCTCTTCAGGAGTGGAGTGTGGAGGTTGGTGAGCTGTGGTTGGGTGCTCTCATGCTTCCTGTCTAGTGCTGGACTAGACTCATGGGTGATGTGCTTGATGCTGCCCATCTGTGCTTCCGTAGCTCTACACCGGAAGTTAGTGTCTGGGTACTGTTTGAGGAAGTATGTGTGGGAAGCTAGCTGTTAATGAATTTTTGAGCAGTTGAGAAAGGCACACATAGTGTAAGGCACATAGGGTTTTTCTGTGGCTTGGAAGAGCTGTCAGTAAGTGTTGTATCTCTCATTGGTTTCCATTTCTGTGTGTGCTGTGTCTCATTTTCAGTTGTTCCTAGGTTATATGACATGTCAGTAAGGAGGACCTAACCATTTCTCACTCACAGTGGTAGAGGGAGCCGTTAGATAAGTGACAGCAGCCAGGGGAGGTGGTGCATCCCTTTAATCCTGGCACTCTGGGAGGCAGAGGCAGGCAGAGTGTTTCAGGGCTATACAGAGAAACTCTTGTCTTGAAAACCAAAAACAAATAAAAGAAAATCCGACCCTGTTGGAAGTCTGTGTAAAGTGTCTAGATTTTCTTTCTAGAGTAGAGAGGATTTAGAAGACCTCAAATACCAGTATAAGATTAAAACTGATCTGTAGAGCAAAGGGGCCAAGAATGGTGGGTCTGAAAAGGCCAAGATGCCAGTTATGATTTGGAAAGTGTTAGCTGTGTTGTTGGAGTAGCTAAGGGGTAGGGTGCTAAAAAGTCACTGCACTGGTTAGTATACGCACCGATGGTCCACATAGGTGACAGTTTTATGTGATCTCTTTGAAACACTGGGTCAGTTTGGCAAGTTGCTATTTGCATTACCTATCAGTGTTTTTGTCAGTGAAGGGTCCATCTTTGACTATGTGATATAAGTGATGTTATATAATACTGAATGTCTTTAATGTTAGGAAATATAATTCTGTAGGATTGTTTTGTCCTATCTAATTGTCATCTCTGCTACTTAGATTATTCGACATAGAATTAACATTCAGGATATGTGCAGTGCACTCATATACATATTATATATTATTTTTACTGCTTCGTAAATGTATGTAATATGTTCATTTTTATAGACCCATCAATACCCATTCTTGCCCTATGTGTGTAGGAGAAGAATGAATATTGAAAAGAACACACACACTTTTTTTTTTTTTTTTTTTTTTTGACATGGGCTTGTTAACTAAGTTACCAAGGATGGCCTTAAACTCCTGAGGTGAAGATGTTCCCTCCCTCAGCCTCCCCCAGTATTTGGGACAGTAGAATACATGTGACTTCCCTTACTGTTTTGTTTTGGATTTGTTTTTTTTCTTTTTGGGGGAAGCATTTCCTTTTTCAAAGTTCTTTTTCTCTCAGGAACTCCCTGAACCTCTTCCTTCTGCTCCTGAGCCCCAGGATAAAGACAGCTGCTAAATAAATTGGTTTCAAACACTTTTGTCACCTTTGAGGTTGGTGTTCTTTTGAG